ACCTCGAGCAAGCCAAGGAGTATCAGCAACGTTCTCTAGCGATTACACTGGACAAACTCAGTTTTGAGCATGTTGTTGTTGCAAGAAGCTTCAATAATTTAATAAACGACGACGGCGACGGCAACGAGGACAGCAAACGAGCATAGGTTTATATTTCATTCACACGAAATGTTTTGCCCTTTTAAGGAAGTACACCCCCGGTAGCCAGATGCATTTGTCCATCCAAAACATAAATACTTACCTCCAGGTTGAGTTACCGCGATCTATGTAAATTTGTAAAGAATTAACCATTACTACGTTCGGACTTTGGCTTGGCCTTCTATACGTTTTTGGGAAAAATGGCATCCCTTCCTGGTATGAGCAATGGCCGGTGACTGGAGTAGCCGACCAGCATGACGTCCATCGTTCCGGACAAACAGGCCACGAATAAACTCCCTCGACTACTCCCTCGCAATTACAAGGCGAACTACGCTTCTGTACCCCTCCCCGTCTGCGTCGGTTATTCTCTTCAGCTCCCTCTGCAATTATATCGGAAACTCCGAAATTGTTCCACGTTACCATTTGCGTTAGTGCTATTAAATTCAAAGGGAAGAAATGTTATTTCTATTTGCGATAATACTATTTCAGGAAATATCATCAAGATGAATGATGGAAGACGGAAAGAGTTTGTTACACTTTTGTGAAAGGGTTTAAAGAAGGTCTCTTCATACTGATTCGAAAACCCCCGACGAAGCATGGTAGTCCATAGTATTTAAACATTTTTCAGGTCAAGGGAATTCAATATGACGATTTTAAGGTTGACATTTACAGCGTTCAAAAGATAAGCATGTTAATTATCCATAGATTGTATCGATCTTGTTGAAATTCATTCCTCATAGCAGAAATAACACTCATCCATACGAGAGAGAACGATTCCAGTGCTAAATAATGTATGAAAATGGCCATGAAATCTTAAATTGATATCCTTGGACTATTCATAGTAATAACTACATGTGCCTAGATTTTTTACTTCTTACCTTCATTTTTAAAAAGATGCTTTTCAGATGAAGCAGTTATCACAGCAAAAGCAACTGCCAACAATACCACCACCAAAAACTTTGCATTCATGGTCTCTAGAAGGCAATGTTCAAACCACTTTGTTGTTAAAGTGATCAAAGAATAGCCACCACAAATGATATACTTACTAATGGGAACGTTCAAAATACTAAATTACTAAATAATAAATTTTTCTGGGAACCAAGAACTCTTGTATCTCCAATAACCAGAAACCTGAAGCAAACTAAATTACATGCTGGTAGTGATAAGAAAACTTCCAAAACAGAGTTTGAGTCTTTTGCATGTTCTCATCCAAGTTTAAGTAAGTATTTCGTGGCCATGGCCATTTTCTCTCTGACTTACTCTAAAATAAAGTAAACAAAAAGGACATATAAACAAAACCTGAATGAGGGGACATATACAGTGTATTTATTAACCACACTGACAACGCTGAGAATGAGGTTGTATTTTTCGAGAGCGCGAAGATCTATCGTTTCCAAAGAAGCACGCGCTCGCCGAAGTTCGGTATATATTTCGGTTAGGATAGAGGTCTTACCAAATTAAGACAGGCAGGAATCTTTCAAATTAGTACGGCCTTTTTATTTGTTGTTCATTTATTTGTATATATTTTGAATGAATTTATGGCGGTCAGTATAAAACACGGAATGCGAACTACGGACTGCGGACTGGGTATAAAATACAGACTGGTGAAATGTATGGTAAATAAAGGCACTTCTTCTTCTTCTTCTTCTTCTTCTTTGTTTGCCCCGGTCGTTTGCCGGCGGAAGTTCCATATAAAAGGCATTAAATTTGAAAGTTAATCATGTGACATCCTCAATGGCGTAGTGGCTTTGTGAGGTCGGGTCTTACCGAAGGTACCGGGTTCAAATCCTGCTATAGACTTTCTTTTTCCCTTCTTCCTTTTTTTTTTCTTTTTTGTTTTGTCTCGTTTGCTTATTTGTTTTGCTGTTTTGTTTTTAAATATATACTTAAATAACTGTTACTAAAGTGCAATAAACAGCAAGAAAAGTATTGTGTTTCCAGAACAAGGATAGTATATTTATAATATGAATTTCTATCATTTCCTAAAATTCACTGTGGGAAAACCAGAGGTGATCTAATTGTGGGTCACATTGACGATAGTCTTTCATTTGTATATATATATTTTGTAACGTTTGCCAAAGCTACTAAAAACAGTTCATTTCTGACACAAAAAAGTTCAAGAAAACCCATTTCTTTGCATTATACCCCAGAGACAATGCTTCGTACTCGGTTTATAACAAATTGGATTGAAGGAAGTGCTGTCGTTCCATAATTTTTTTTGCCAAGATAACAGAAATGGGCCGGCTTAAAGAAATGAAGTCTACAACGCAACTAACAGAGTAAAGCTTTCATCTGAGTGTTTGTATTTTATGATCCTTACCCTTGAAAATCTTTGTAGAGAAGGTCTACTTGATGAACAAATAAAGTAGCTGCATTAATTGATACATACCTATTTTTGGAATTTGTGATTGATAATTGATCTGAGAGCTCACCCAGGACAGAATACTTTCCTCAAGTAGATACTGACTGAGCAAGTGACGAACGTTACGCTGATTTAAACCCTTTCATCCCCGCGTAATTTATGCAGTTGCGTACAGTAGCCCTCAGCTTTTGCAAATGGAGGAAGTTTATCCGAGCATTCCTACACGTTATAAACGTTACCATTGAATACCAACACATAACTCTCCGAGGGCTTTCTTTTTTAGCCAATCCATAGAATAACGCTGAGTTAAACAATAAAAATGAAAGCGACGAGGAATGTCCGTTGAGTGCGCATGTTTCGACAAAATATTGTTAAGGAAATTTTATTTGGTGCTTGGGATCTACATACTTTTATAAAAAGAATTGTTACCTCCGAGATGCACCAAAATAGGACCAAATCACCGAATTCATTGTCAGAAGAAACTTTCTATCGATCACCAATTAAACTAACTATAAGTCAAAACTATGAGCTAGTAAGATAACTTACTAAGATAATCAACAGTGAAGGACTCTCAAAATAACTTAAGTACAAACATGTATCGTTAGTAGTAAATACCACAAGTAGCTAACATAACTCTACCTCTAAACAGCCTTTTCCTTTTTATTAACGATCAGTAGGAAGTCATTTTCTCATTTGGGTAGAGGATGTAATTTGATCGGTATCAATACGTAGGAGTTGAATACCAATTAAAATGAGTCAAATTGTTTTCATGATATTTTCCCAGTACATATAGATATTTCCTAAACTGAAAAATTTTTTTATTTAATTTGAGTTTTTAGTAGATAAAAAAGCTCTGCTTGTGCTGCGAAATTGTGCAGTTTGACATTTTTGACCTCAAATTGGTCCTTCGTTGATATTTTCCATTAAATGACTACTTAACTTGTTTTTAACCCTTTTTTGTGTGTTTTCTTGAGTTTTCAACCGATTTCGTTTCACAAATTTCTTGTTTTTCAAGAGGACTTTATGTCCTCTGAGTTGTTGTGACGTCATTAATTTTTCCTCTTTGCTGATCTCGTGCTGGAAACTCCGTGACAACGTTGTCATTTCTTGGTGTTGACGGAGAGTTGGCAATTCCTCTAGAGAGACAAACACTATATGTATGACTACATGACGGCTTAACACCTAAAAGTACAGAGAAGAATTGACCACTATATTAACACGAAATTAAAGAAACGTTCGTTCACATTTGTCAACAACGTTTAGTACTTAACACAAAACACCAAACACGAACGACACAGACTCGTTTACGGATACATGGATTTGCAGTGTTTTTGGACATCAAACGTAACTGAACAATGTTTGGAAAAATGCATCAGTGCCTATCACGTTATAAAAATCCACATAAATATCATGCCAAAAATAAACAGTGGACCACATATGCGCTTGTTGCATTTAAATACCCGCCGGCGGGAACTTTTTATGAACACTAACAGTAATATAACAATCGCTATAGACCATATAAACAAAATGATAAAACTCATGTTTGAAACATTTGCCCTGCAAGAGTTTTCTCCGAAGACAGAAGAATGCAGATGCTTTCTTCTTTTAAAAATAATTGGAGACTTAATCCCCACGTCGACTCTTGCAATGCCCTCGTAGCCTAGAAATTCACAGCTTTTTTGAAAGTCTGTGGAGATTGATACAGTATACGAGATCCCATTAATTTCTACAACGGCCTTAGCTCCGATGTTATTTCCCTGCAATTTCGGTTTGGTTGCCAAATTCCCAGGAGCGACAAACAGATATGCCATTCTCGTCCTTCTCTCAGCTAAGTTAGTTGTAATATTGAGGAAGTGAGTTTTCCTTTTACCGACTTCTGCCCCCCATTCGTTGCTTTGTGATTGAACGGTGCTTTGCCCTTGATGAGCGTTTGTCCAAAAAACCAGATGAGTCTTGTTGTTTAACAATATCGAAGCTAACTGATATCCAGTTTGGTCTTCTTGCACCTCAAAAGAAGAGTGTCGATTATGGAAAAAAGCCCCTGCGTATCGAGTTGAGCTATTCCATGTTTTCTCAATATGATCAATGACCGAAAGAACTCCAGGACTTAAGAGGACTATAGATCTATACACACTTGAGAGAGCCAACTCAGATCTGTACCAACCACTAAACTCGCCACTAATAAAAACTATTTCTTTGGCATTCGAGGCAGCAACAATTTCCGCATCGGCGAACCAGATTGCATCGTTTTTGAAAGCTAACCATTTGCCACAGTCGCCAATTTGTCCTTCAAAAGGCCCAGAACACGTTGTTTCCGTCGTGGGACCAAATAGCAGAGCTTTATTGAGCCATGTGTATTTGGGTCCATAGAGGGCCTCGGTAATGAACGGTACACCGTAAGGTACAAAAACAAAGGAACCTTGATCTGGATGTTCATGTCCTGGGTTGAAATTACGCCATCCTGATATCCAGTCATATTGCGTATGTCTTACAATGCCATTTATCCGTGCAAAACGCTTGATTTAAAAGAAAGAAATGTAATTTTTTCCCGGCCTTTTCCCAAAGATCCGCCTCCATAGGTCACAACACCCCAGTCCTCAAAAACATGAAGTTGAGGAGTTGAAGTATTAGGAGGCTCCTTTTCTGGAATACTTGCATTATAGAAAATAAACTCCGTGTGAAGTGTGCAAAAACGTTGTGCGAAGGCTCCTTCCTTTGTAGAATTCTCAACACGTAACATGCGGATTTTCTTTGCAAGCCAGTTGCCATACCCATTTCGCATAACGTGACTATCTAAGAAAACAAGCTGGCTTTCGGGTCCGTAAAACCAGTTTTGGTTTGAGTCGGCAATACCAACAGTTTCTGTAAAACTTGGAAGAATTGTGTGGTATAAGAACCAGAAGTGTTCTCGCAACCAGATGTTGTTTGTCAAATCAGTTCCGAGATGTCTCTTAGCCAAGAAAATATACTGAGTCAGTGATCGCGTGGTGTATGAGCCAGCCACGCCCTCTTCCATAGACCCATCGACGATTTGGTAAAGAAGAAACATGGTTCTCCTCAGCATAAAATTAGCTCTTTCTTTCCAAACTTTCGCTTCTTTGATGTGCGGTTCAACCACTATTGCACCTGTAAAAAATGCAACGTAATTAGTAGCAACATGATTCTGAATGTACTGTTTGAAAGATCTCTCGTAAAGTTCTTTTGTGACATCTGAAATCTTTGCAAGGGCTTTTATTCGAAGGTCTTCCTTTAAGTGTTGGAAAAGAAAATCGTAAACGGTTGCCATAGCAACCAAGCTGTGTGCCACAGGGACGTCATCCCTTATTAAAGCACTGACAAGCCTGATGACTCATAAGCTATGTGAGTGAAATTGAAACAGCTCTTATCCAGCCCGTACCAGTTTAGTACTCTATCCAATTCTTACTGATTTGTTCGACTTTACTAAACAACTGCGACTCGCATTCACTTAATTGTGACAGGAAAAATAAACATATTGCAGCTTCAACAAGCAGAGCCGACGAAAATGAAACAACTCAAAACCTTTCCGAAAGGACACAACGTGATTACTAACGAATCCCCCATTTATATGTCATTACACAAAAGGCCGCTCAAAATTTGCGATTTCAAGTTTCACAAAAAAGCTTTGCTAGTTTAATGAATTAAACATTTCTCTGGTCGCCCTGCTCCAAGCTAGATTTATTATTTGCAAATAGGAAGAAAAAGCTATAAACGTGGAAAAAGCAAATATTTGCACACTAAAGAGACTCAAACACAAAACCTTCAAATTTCACCCCCTTTTGATGTTAGTAAAATCTATAATGTTATGCCTTTTCAGAACGGTTTTGAATTTAATTTCTTTCTGCTTTGCTTTTAGGAGCTGCAATCTGTTTATCTTTCTGTTTTCTTCGTTTTCTTTTCTTTTCTTTTTTCAATAAAAGCTGTTAAAGTTAAAAATTTATGCTGGCCTTGTACCCCTAGTTTTAACAAGCTGTTTTTGAAAAGTACCTCTGCACTTTCGGAATATTCATCCTACCACCTGATCAAATAAAGATACAGTGGACCCCGCTCTATGGACACCAGTTTAATGGTTGTTTGTTCCAACAAAAAGCTCATATTTTTTCTATAAAAAAACGGCTTAATACGGGCACAGGGGCATGTCCCCTTTGTACCTGTATTAAGTCGAAGTACCACTGTATTGTAAATACCAACTGGTTGCCTCCCCCCAGTTGGGTTTTTTAATCCTGTTTATGTTGTATTTGAATTATTTGTTTCTAAGTATTTGGTTGGAGTGCCTGTAAACTAGCTGGATAAGCTAAGTGCACTTTCCACTATATAAACAAGCCGTTAAACCTTTATGTGTATATGTATGTTGTTCAACATTGTGTGTAAATATGAAATCCTTTTCTGTGATCCCTCAAATGAAAAATCCTAGGTACTTGTAGTTTTTCCTTAGATGTTTAGAAGAGTGTAATAAAACTTTAGCAAAGCAGCCATTTTTTGACACGTGATGAGGACTGAGACTCATGATCTTCACCGGCGTTTCGCGACACACATGAGCGACTGAGCTAGTCCTGTGATCAATTCAGTGTTCCGTAGGTAATATAGAGGCGACGAAGGCAGTTTCGTTTATACTTTGGTACAACAGTAAATTCGTTGACCATGTTTTACCTTTTTGGATGCATAAATAGAGAACAACGACCTTCGCTCCATTGTCACCTGAATACCTTCCGTAGGGAAACTTTTATAGCCTAGGATAACTTATCACTTACTTTTATTAGTTCCTTGCAGAACAAAAAAAAACTAATTAAAAGAACTGTATATCAGAGGCACCTAACAAGATTTTCTGTACAATAACTCAGTCGAAGGAGCAAATATTGATGGAAATTTCTAAAGCTGGCCGAGTAAGTCTAAAAATTATTGGATAACCGTTCCATTCGTCCAAGATATTCGGATTTTTTCTACTAACAAAGGTAGGTTGTGTTTTTTACATTTTATTACCAAGATATTGCGGTTGCTGTTGAAATTAAAGGTGGTCTTAAAATTTCGGTATTAAGACCAAAGATACCCTAGAATCTTTTGATGAAAGTAGGGCGAATCCATGTCCGAGAACGTTCGACCGGACCCACCAGGGTAGCTAACAGTTTCGAATGCGACAATCGGCTCCTGAATGCGATAAAAAAGCCATTTAAAACTTTCAAGACGACTAAGGTATTCCTAAGACATCCGAGTAGGTAAATGGTTTTCACATGTTTTAGGTCAGCTCCACATTATCCAAACCTGAACCCATTTGAGTCACTTCTCATGTATTTAGAAACATTTGGTTGTATTACAAATAAACGTATCGTGATCAGTCTATCGCCCCAGTGACCGATTGCGATCGAGACGATTAATGGAACACCTCTGATACCATAGGGAACTATCCTTACCATTGAGCGACCGAAACCCTTGAGTAGAAGTCTTGGGCTCGTTTCCATATCTCCCGTTGAAATCCTGATTTTTTTTTTTTTTCAGGCTTCTTACACAATTGTAGAAATTGCGTTCACAACTGCAAGGATCATTCTTTATTTTGATATTCCTCTGTATCAGTCTCGGGCTTCCTTAGGGTCCCAAACAATCGATACCAGCCTTTTAACTAAGATTATATGCAGAATGCTCATAACATGTTCATAACATGGAGATAATTACAAACGGTTACACATACAGGTTGTGTGGGCTTCCTATGATTAGAGAAGCTTGCCCTTTTCTCGAAACTCCGGGTAACTTTTTAATCAGTATTAAATCATAATTTAGGGAATGAATGCGCAGGTCCTAGTTAACAAAACCAGCCTATTATATTTTGGTAATGGTACGTAGCCATATCATATCTGCAAAGCTAGTACAGCTGTAAAAACTCGACATTTAAGATAAACAACAACAGCTATGTGGGCCCGTTGATTATCGGGACTTTTGAGAAATGGGCTTTTGCATGCACCCTTAGCAGTCTTTAATTAACAGCTGTTTAAACTCTCGATTAAGTTATCTATGCGCTCTGTAGTGTCTTCTCGTCAGAGGGTTGTACATTTGCGTAAATTTAATTCTTGCACATAAAGTTGAGATCTTTGTTGCTTGCACAAACCTTTGCCTGTAACTTGTATTCTTTTACCACATTGTCAGCATATGTGTATTGTCTGATTATGCTATAGATATAATATCTCTGAAAATTGAAGGCATGTAGTAGAATTAACTGTTTTTAAAATTTGCATAAAGTGTTGCTAAAGGGGTCAGTTTCGAAAGAAACTGTGGTGTTGCTCCAGTGGAAATTAAAACGCGCAGCACATTTCGTCAGCTGAGTTGATTCAGTAAATTTGCCGCCATTCAAAGATTCATAAATGATGTTTCATGTTTCGAGTGATAACCTTTCATAAGACCTAATGAAGGAATTGTTGGTTGTGCTAATGCAGCTTCTTGATGAGACATGGTTTATTATAGATGAATGCGCACGGGGACTTGAAAACTGAAAACTTGCAGCAATGTGGTAAATTCTTATACAGATCAAAAAAATCAGGAGAGCCAACAATGATTTTTTCGCATGTGAGAAGAATGGTTGGGCCACTGGGAACCGTGAACGGCTTTTTTTTTTCCTTCATGTGTCTGATCAATCGCCCGTCCAACCAAAAGCCGTAGCAATTTCATGCGCTTGTTTCCTGCTTTAGTTGTTTGTGGCGTCCTCACTTGACAGTTACTGAACAGAAAAAAATTGCGGTGTTTTGCTGTAAATAATTTTTTTTAAAGAGATCAACAGTCAGAACAGTTTGAAAAATGGAAAGAACCTCTCTTTAGTATCGAAAAGTGGAGCTGTGTTTAAAAAAAATGATTTCTGATAAAAACGTAACTTAACGTAGGTTCGCTCTTATTCAATTCTTTTCGAATTTCTTTATAAACCCTAAAGAAGAGTCAACTTGATACACATCAATGTATGACCCGGCTAACGAAGTCTTTCTGGGAGCAAAACTTATTCAGGGAGTTTTTATATATATTGTGGTTCAGTTTCATCCTTGGTTTAAATTTTGTTTCCTTGTGTTTCAAACTCATTATCATACATTATCATACCCGAAAACAAAACACAAAAGAAAATAACATTTAAACCAAGGATAAGACAGGCCATTTCCGAGTTTCCCCGAACCTCTGTATCAAAACGAGGTTAGGTGCTCAACCTTTCTTGTGGAAATGAGTTTTATTTGCATGAGAATGAAAAATCATTTCCATATCAAAGGTTGAGCACCTAACCTCGTTTTGATACAGAGGCCCGGGGGAACTCGGAAATAGCCTATTGAACCACAACATATACGCCAGTTTACCCCTCCCCCTCCCCCCCCGGGCTGTGACCCATGCATGCCGATACACGCGCATTTTTGGTGGTCACGCCACGGCACGGTAAATTATTCGCTTTTGTTTCCACAGTTTTTCCCTTCGTCGTTCAAGCAGAAGCTCTCTGTAATGAGCTTGCAATCTGAGTGAAATCGCAAACAGTACTACATCATTTGCATCAAGTATACAAATCGAGTATCTCCTTGTAGTAAATACCATTTCTTACGACTACAAAAAAATGGTCCATAAATTCGCATTGAAATTACATTTTTCACGGCTCTAGTAGTTCATTTGGTTTCGCTTGCCGCCTTCAACATCCACAGGTCTCCAAGAATGGGTAGCTCAGTAGAGTAATTTCTTGGTGAGTAGGCTGTTCCAGCGTTCAGACGATGCAGGGTGCGAGTGGAGAGCAGGGAGAAAATAGCAATTAAGCGGAATCGATAGAAAAGTTATTTTATCAATCGCAAGTTGAAGGGAAGGGGTGGGAAGAGAAGGTGAATTAATTACAACATGGATCCGTCCTGCTTCCCACTACACACTTCACAAGTCACGTTAGCTATCTACATCACACCGCCGTCTTTGGTACAGTTAAAGACGTGCTTCAACGTCGACTAGCCTGCTTGGCAGGCGCAAAAGGGACCGTCTTCATTTTGAGACGGTCTTTTTCCCTTAGTCAAAATTTGCGGGGTATTTGTTGTGAATAATTTTTTTAAAGAGATAAACAGTTTGACAAACGATAAAGGGCCTTATCAAAAGTTCGAGGTTATCTCTTACAAAAAATGATTTCTTTTATAAAAACTTAACGTCTGAATTAGGATTCGATCTTATTCAATTCTTTTGTAAACCCTAAAGAAGAGTCAACTTGACTGATACACATGAATGTATGAATTAATAAGGAAGTCTTTCAGGGAAAAAAACTTATTCAGGGAGTTTTTTTAT